ACATACAAGACGATCCAGTTTTGTATACTTTTTGAAAAGGTAGTATGATTGGTAACACCTGAAAATTCCACCTAGTACCAAATCCTCAAGTACTAGGACTATACTATACCATTGCCAAAAAACTAAGTCTGCTGAATAATGGCATGAAATTTTATTTAACAATAGATTCCTTTTTAATCTGAAACCCTTATTTGCTAGCACAGCATGTCTTACTGGGGTAGGCCAATTCTCTCAGTCCGTACATAGGCATAAATGTTTAGGTTTGAGGTATTAAAGGGATAGTGAGGGACAATAACATCCCTCTGTCTTAACATATTAAGTATCATTAGAATCTAGGCATGAAATTCAGGGGTGTTAATAATAAAAGCTTCATTAATACTTCTCTCTTTTAGAGGCCTGTTCACCTATACCCCTCCTCTACACATGACAGTACTATGAACAGGCTTCAAGCTCAGTGGCAACATCCCAAGGAGGAAAGAGGGCATTCAGATAATCATAAAGTCTCTTCAATATTGCACCTGTTTATGAAATATGCAAAGGAGATCTCCTTGTACAAATCACAGGATCTCCTCTGGATGTATCTTTTTATATGTTGTAAGGAAGTGTATATGTGGATAAATTTTAGGATACACTAGGTTTTAAACAAAAAAGGAGTAGGGAGAAACTATTTTTTTAAATCTCTTGCTGCATGATTATCATTTTCAAGAATTTTATTCATACCAGTTAGTGATGCAAATATATGTGTACGCTGTTATAAACCAGGGGTAGCTGTATTTTGTGCCCACCCAAACTTGAATAACTTGGTTTGATCTGCATAACTTAATGACACATGGTTCTCTATTTGAAACACTTTGGCAAGAAAAGAGTACAGGGGAATGATGAAGACTCCAGTGAGCCTGCCCATTCTTTGGAGATCTAACCAAGGACTTGTTCTGAGCCTTCTGTCTCCTACATATCCTCTCTACAGGCATGCCCAATTGAGAAACCATTGTGGTGGTGATTTTTAAAACCAGTTTTGGCTGCAGAGCCTTTAGTGGATACACTATGAAGCAAATACTTAAGCTGAGAGTTGTCCTGTTACCTCATTCTTGTTTTGTACCTGTTTTCTCCATCAAACTATCACTTTAATCTCTGATACAATACTTAATACAATAATTTAGTCTAACTTGGTTGTTCACAGTAAAGTAATTAAAATCTAATAAAGACTGGTAATGTATTGTTTTAAAAAATAAATATTGGTCAATTTTAGGTTGATGTGATTTGTTTATGTGTATGTAATACGGGAATTACAATCATTTTACAAAAACCCAGAGTGACACTTGTTACTTTAGCAGCATTCTGTGAAATGGTGATGCATAACAAAAGAATTATGGCAACATTATTTCAAGACAACAGTGAATGGCCTTAACAAATTTGTGTGCATACATTTGATTATCTGACTTCTGTAATATCAATATATACCCCAGCAGTCATTCACAGATGTTGCATTACCAGTTCACGCGTTATGTTTTCAGTCTCCTCATCAGCCTAATATAGGTGATTTTAAAATACAATTTTAGGGACTTATCGAGCAAAGACATGATAGCCCTTATTCTGGAGAGCCAGTTTTGTCTAGTGGTTAAGAGCATGGACTCTTATCTGGGAGAACCAGGTCTGATTCCCCACTCATCCACATGCACCTGCTGGTGTGACCTTGGGTCAGTCATAAGTTTTTTCAGAGCTGTTCTCTCAAGCGCAGTTGTTGAGAGAGCTGTCTCATCCCCACCTATCTCATAGGGTGTCTGTTGTGGGGAAGGGAAAGGGATTGTAAGCTGCTCTGAGACTCCTTTGAGTAGTGAAAGGTAGGGTATAAATCCAATCTCTTCTTCTCCTTTTGTTAGTTCAGCTTTATGCTGAAACAATTACCAGGACACATAAACCTGTAAAAGCACTCGTGGATATTTCAGCAGCCAGCAAAAATTACAAGGTAAAGCAAAACAAATCTTCACCCTTCCTTGTACTCTCTCAGACCTCACTACAGCAGCAAAGAAATGTACAGTGAGACCACCACAGGTGACCTTACAGAGAAACATAATACATGATTTGCTGTGTTTTAAAAGACAGACAAGTAGCACTTGGAACTGAGTTCAGATGCACACTGGCAGCCTGTGCAGTTGCACTAGTTGAAAGTGTAAATACTGCACTCTATACTAGCTGAAGCATCTGAGCACCCAGCCTTCAAGGGCAGCCCCAAAGTAAAGTACATTGTGTGAGAGGAGAGATTATCATTGCATGAATGGAAACAAAGTCTGTCAGTCAAGAAAGGCTGCTGTTGCCCTACATATGGGTGGTAAACTAACTGGGCCTTCTTCCACCTACAAGTCAACAAGTAACATCTCAAAGCAGACCTTATTAACAACTGAGTCTTTTTGGGAGTCAACAAAAGGCTTTCTTGTCTTCTTCCCCCACTCCCCCAAAAAACCCCAGCTTCAGCAGAAGATGCTCTTCCCTGTATTTACATATACTGCACTTCCAGAGTCTCACATTGTTTCAGTAGCTGAAGTTTATACTGATTTTCTCCTTGATTTAGTCTATCTGTTGACAGACAATATTTAAGAAAAATACACTTCATCAGTGAAAGAAGGTGTACATGTTGTGCCTTCAGTTCATAGTTCAACATATATAGAAGTACGTCAGTATGCTGTGCAGGCTCTTCTTATTGCAACCACCCAAATAATTTCCTCTGTAGTTCAACAGCTGTACAGTTAGATTCAGAATCACTGAACTTCAGTAAAATGAAGATATTTTATCTTGTCATCTAAATTCATCTGTTTCTAGCAGGTGAACATTTTGATTGTTGCCATCAGTGCTGTTTGTCACAGTTGGATTTTGTTCTGCACTGGGGAGAACTGACACAGAATCCCAGTGATCTTCTCCTGCACAGTTCTTAAATTCTTCAACCACAGTCATTTGAGGATTTTGTAAGTCCTGAAAAAGAAGTATTAGGTTGTTACACCAATATGTAGAACATTTCTGTACTAGTAAACCTGTGTGTAGGAGAACATTGTGAAGATTTGGGGATTCAGTCCCACAGATCTGTTTTACTAATGGTGGTTCTTTCCTCTTCCACCAGAGAAAAGCTTTTTGCCTCAGTGGAAGTTGGCTTGCCCCACAGGAAAATGCCACCATTGGTGGAACAAATCCATAGGCCTATACACAGAAAGGCAAGCTCCACTAAAGTCATAGGGACTTTTTGATGTAGGCCAAATGCAAAAATGAATGGGAATGGTAGGAGCTGCCTCTTCACTTAAATTTCAAATTAACCAGGCCACTTGAGTTGCAGATATATGGCTTTACATTCTCTGATCCATGCTCCATATTACAACCTGTTTATTTGGTCATGACCAGCATGGAATAGTGGTTCGAGTGTCACACTAGTATCTGGGAGGCTCAGGTGCAAATTCCCATTCTGCTATGGAAGCTTGCTGGGTGGTGACCATGGGCTAGTCACACACTCTCAGCTGAACTCACAGGATAAAATGCAGATAAAATGTAGAATGGCAGAATGTTGTAAGCCACTTTGGATCCCCAATGGGGAGAAAAATGCTGTAAAATGAAGTAAATAAATAAAACCTGTTTGAAATGATCGATTCAGCTATTTATGTAATATTCTGTATTTTCACACACCATGATCTAGCCACAGTTTAAAGTTGATTTTCCATTGATACTAGATCCCTCTCCCTGCATCAGCACAGAGAGCTTAGCCCTGACAATCATGGCCCTGGTGCTGAACAACAAGATGCTGGCAATGTTGCACTGGCGCCGGAGCTTTCTCAACAACTCCCTGTCTAGGAAGAATATATCCAAGCTTAAACTTGGGTGATGGAAGTGGCTACGTGACAGCTGAATGATGTCTCCCAAGTACAAGCATGCCTGAAGTTTGTTGTAGAGAAGAGTGCACTGTATGACACACCTTTATGCCGATTACAATCACAGTTGACCTTATCCATTCTTATTATAAATATGTAAAAGCCATAAATATACATACCTCTTCATAATGCAGTGGTATTGTAAGAGGAGGTCCCCAAAGAGATTTAATTACATTCTGATGCTTTTGTATAACCATCAAGCAGAAAAATACTATAATGAGTATAATAACGGCAAATATGAATGTCAGTGTGATGAATAAAATCCTTCTTGTCTCTGAAAAAGAAAAGGCTAAATGTTAACTGATTTCTTTTGATGGTACTGAAGTCAAATATACAATAATCTCTCGAGAAGAACGGTTTAGTTGGATGACAGTTTATCAAATAATGTTCGAATTTGTTCAAAATAATGTCAAAAGGACCACCAAAAAGACCACTTCTGTCAGCAAAGCGAGTTTGGCTATGAGAAATCTCATATTGAGCCTGAAATATATATATTAGGATGAAATCTCATGCAGGATCCTGCCTCTCTGCTTTTGGCAGAAGGAAGGCAGCTGAGGGATGCACAGCTCAGAAGAAAGAGCCCAAAGGCAGGGCACCTGAAGGGTACAGAGTAGGAAACAGGAGGAGGAAAAAAACAAGGGCAACAGGTTGACGAATGAGAATAAGAAAGGCTGTGTACTACTGGCAGGAGGGAAACAGAAAAACAAATATTTGGAGGGAGGCAAGGAGCCAAGAGTGATGAAAGGAAAGTCAAAAGATTTTCAGTGTGTAAAATACAGCAATGGATATAACAAAGTTGTGCATTAAAAACCCCTATGGGTTTGGATCCAGCAATGAATGAGCAGAAAGTGCAATGGATATAACAAAGTTTGGATCCAGCAATGAATGAGCAGAAACAAGAGGATTCAGTGTACTTCAGTTTCTACAGGATCTTGTGTGACACCTAGTATTTTCCATTCTATCTACTACAATGAGTGGAAATTGGCTGCACAAGCAAAAATGCAAGTGGGAATACAAGAAATCTGATTAGCTGCAAGTTGCTACTTTGGCCTATTTCTTATGCTTCCCTTGCACAAGAGCTCTAACACAACTGGAAATTTTGCACTGGATACAACCTAGTTACTGACTCCATCAGCAGATATATATGCCATGCTAACCAAACACAAGAATCAGAGTAGAAACTAAATTCTGTGTTATGTGCCCAAGGAAGCATACTTAAAGTCACCACTTTTCATCTTGATCCAACACATTATAGCAAGAACATTCCAATGAAATCAGCTGAACAGTATCTATACAATAATGCAATATTGCAGTATTCTAGGCTGAAAATAGAAATATCAGAAATCTGAATCTGGGACAAGGGAAGAGTTAACAGTGTAATAGGCCATTTAAGAAGGCAAGCTTGCTCCATGTTTGAAGTTTAAACATTTGAAGCACACCAGTTTTTTATTCATTGCAACTACATGCAGGCACACTTTCAAAACTTTCTCTCATGCACCACATTTTCAGACTTTTTGCAGACTAAGAGAAAGTAAAGCAGAATTTCTGCTTCCTCATGGTCATGCAGCCTAGATTCTGTAGAGTTGCCAACTCTCTGTAACACAAAGTACTATATATTCTGGTACTGGCAAGAAAAAAGTGCAGGGATTTTTTTTATATAACAAGTTTTCTGCCATAGTTAAAGATAGCAAAACATTTTTAATCTAATGAAAATGCCTGCTAAAGATTAAGGGAGGCCTAAAAATGTTACATGTTTTCTACATGAAAAGCATTTTGTGTAGGAGAAAGTGTGAAAAACAAAATGTAAGTACAGTAGTCATGGGCATCAAGTGTCTACACGTCTATTCACTGCAGGTCCTGACAAGTAACAACTGGCTAAAAAATCTGATTCATGAATGCTATGCAGCAATAATACGTATGTGCAGTCACTGAAAATGGATTCCATACTTTCATACACGTAGCCTGAATGCAAGGCTTTTGCTTTTGACGTTGCTTCTAATTCTTCTTAACAAGCCAGTTCCACTGTCCTTTCACTTTGAACACATTACCCCATACTGATACCTGGTAAAATATTTTGTACACAAGTTCGGGGAGGGGGGGAACCCTCCCAAACTAATATTCAGCTGCAGGAAAAATGCATATCAGAAATGTTATCAAAATATGTTATGTTGCATTCCATTTGTTTTTGTTTTTTGTTTAAAGACACAAAATGTTCCACACGCACAGCTATTTTGGATTTTTATATTGCTAGATGTAGTTCTCAAGACAGCTGCTGGACATTACTCTTTAATAAGGCATTTGAATTATTAATATGTCAATTTAGCTTCAGGAAATAAGTTAAATTAGATTGCTTTAGCTACGAGTTCAAGCCACACTGCTTTAATGACACAGTAATAAAACACTATTGCTCACTGAGAAAAAAACGTACCAGTGAAAGAGGTTTTTTTGCAATAAGTGTCACTTAAACGTCCATGTAGATCTTTTTCAGGAAGCACTGCTTGTATATGAAAACAATACTCTGTCATTTCCATCAAATTTGCAAGTGTGTATTGCGTATCTCTGGTGTCCACTACCTTCAGTTTAATCAGAGGAGAAAGAAATAAGGTGACATTTACTATATGGCAACCATTTCAGCCAAATTCATTTCAGTTCTTAAATTCTACTGCATAAAATGAACTTCACGGGTTAACCCTGAAACAGATCATGAAGCATAGTGTAAATTTACACTGGCTATCCACAAGCCATTTAAGCAGAACAGTATTGCTCAACAGAATTCACAGAGTTTCCCTCTGTGATTTCTTGTTACTTGCACAAATTTATATTCCAAAACGTTTTAATAACTACCTCTGTCTTGTCACAGGTATAGCAACTCTGTCATTGTTTACGCTGCTGTGTCATTAACATTCCTGCACCACATGCTTATACTTCAAAGGTATTACTCAGAAAAATTGATGCTTAAAGCTAGCTCTCACATAGATCAATGACTATCCTGCACCTCCCCTTCTCCAACCCCAATAGAATTTGCCATTTCTTTCACTTAAGAATGTCTTGTAAATGAAAAATGTCTCTTTAATTTTTTTCCAATGTAAATATGCAAGTTGTTGCTAAATCATCAGTAAAACAGTACACTAGCTATACATGACTGAATCAGTGAATAAATCCATACCAATCTGCAAAGTGTTTGGAGCCTTCCCAACCCATGTTGCCTCCTATGCATATACTTGGGTTAAACTTTTAAACGAAGTGAAGAACTTGTCTGGGGAAATGACAATCTACTTGTACAAGAACAAATTCTACAGGCAGTTTGTAACTCTTCAGTGAGATTAGGCCTTTCTATTTACTTCATTTATACCTCACATTTCTCCCCAATGGGGACCCAGAGTAGCTCACAACATTCTCCTCCATTTCTCACATCTCTGTGAGGTCAGTTAGACAAAGAAGAGATGGTTTTTATAATGCACTTTTCCTCTACCCTAAGGAGTCTCAAAGCAGATTATAATCTCCTTCCCTTCCTCTCCCCACAACAGTCACCTTGTGAGGTACAGGGGGCTGAGAGAGTTCTGAGAGAACTGTGACTGATGGCCCAAGGTCATCCAGCAGGTTCGTGAGAAGGAATCAGGAATCAAACACAGTTCTCCAGATTAGAGTCTGCTGCTCTTAACCACTACACCATGCTGTGTGTGAATGGCCCAAGATCACCCAGCAAGTGCCCATGGCACAATGGGGATTTGAACCTGGGTCCCCCAGATCCTAGTCCAATACTCTTAATTACTATACCAAGCTGACACTCCATTTAAAAAAAAAACCCTTCATAATGTGAAGACTGAAAAAAATACACCAGAAGACTTGCAGAAATCAGCCAGTTCAACAGCAGAAAAAGATAACATACGTCCAATTTTGTGGTTCTCAAATTCAACGGCATTTTGTGAAATGTTGCCTTTAAAAAACTCAAAACCAATTTCACTATTTGATGCAAACACACATTTAGAAGAAAAATTAATAGCACTGAAGTTAAAGAATGTTTCAGTATTTCAACTTTTTCCAGAAATTCATTACCACTTTGTCAGATGAAGGCAAGTCCTTATCTGTTGACTTCTCCCAGTAAGATATTAGATATTGAAAAACAAAGAATCTTGACTTATTATCAAAGGGAGCGTTATAGCTAACAAAAATGGAGTTAGCTTCCACTGTTGCATCTATTTCTCTTGGAGGTCCTAAAATAGCTGAAATGGAAAAATACAAAACAGTTAAGTACATCCTTATATCTAACAACATACATGGCTCCTCTGCTGATCAAAACAGGGCCAACTAGTGCTAGAAAACCTAAGATTTGTGAAATGTTAAATTTTAAATGGGGATTAAGAAACTTAAAACATAGTAAACAGCAATGTCTGCACATGTGCAGACATTGTGTGTGGAGGGGTCTGAGTTCAGAAAGCATTTGGGGACTAGTTGGGTCTGGCATACTTAAAACAGTGCCCAATATTAAGGTAGCACTGCAATGCGGGCCAGCAGTACCATGAAGGGGAGGAACTAGATGTGGCGGTGAAGGGAAGGAAGGGGTCTGGCACAGTGACAAGGGGATGGGAAAGCAGGGCAAAGCATAGAGAAAATGAACAGTAATGGGAAAGCGAGGAGGCAAGGACTACTAGCAGCAGAGAAGTGGGGAGGGGAGACGATGGAGGAAGCAAAATAAGTCACACAGAGGCAGGTGAAGGGGAGAATAGACTGGGGGGGGGGAGATGGGATTTCAACTCCCCCACCAGCAAATGTCTTATAGCTGCCCTTAGACTATTTAAGGCCAAATCTCTCAGTCAACTTACCTTTGGAGCCCCCATCAATATTACATCTAACTACAAGAAACCGGATACACTACAATCAAAATTTTTGAGATGTGTTCTACAGGTACCTAATAGCATTCCAAATGCACTTATTTGAATTGAAACGGGAATGATTACTGTGGAGGCAAGTTTATGGATCATAGCAATTCATTATTGTCTGAAATTAGTTTCTCTATCCAAGGGGCTGACGTGTTTAATATTACAAGACACCTCTATACCCTCCCGGCTTAAGGTTATAGAGGAGAAACGCCCTTATTTTGGCCTCACAAAATAATACCTATGTTCCCTTGCCTATGATAAAGCTAGAGAATTGATAAAACAGAGGATTATGGATACTGATAATCCCTAGGTCCTTACCTCTCACTAGTAGGCAAAGAGTTTGTATTATGAAAAATCTCCTTGTGAACAGGCACTCAGAGGTAACATATCAAGTGGCTAGATATGGATGGCTAACTTTAAGAATTAGAAAATCTATAATAACACAGCAAGTTAAATGTCAATCACCTTACTGTTAATTGTCTGTTTCTTAAGATTTTTAAAATGCATTTTATTGCTGCTTTAAGTTTCTTTTACCTTTATTCACAGGGGTTCTTATTATCTATTAATTTTGTTGTGTTTTAAATGTTAATTGCTGGCTTTGGTTGTGAATAAATAAAACTAAAACTCCCCCACAAGTCTTCACAGATCTCCACTTGTTTTCTGCTCATTTTGAACAGACTCAACCCAAAGGCCCACATGCACTCTAAGAAGCACAGGAGGGTTTGATATTAGAGGAAGAGGGCCTCATTACATGAGATTATGATGTGAGTTAGGACTGGTGGGCAGACATGCAGACCCTGGCAGTGGGACAAACAGGGCCTCCTCCAAACATTTTTACTTATGAAAACAGCGGTGTGTGTGTGGAAGCCGCTGTTCCTGCAGTGACCCACAGCAGAGTAAGGAGTCACACTGCTTTTCTATGTCAATTTCTCTGTCACATGTGGTGACCCCACTTGCATCATGTCTCAACTAATGAAGACCCACTGGAAGCAGCTGATCGGTGTTTACACTCGCAGCACTTGCTGCTGTTATCATTGAGTGTTCTCTGACACCATGCAAGAAGTCTCTGGAAGAAAATCTCACAGCCATCTGAAAGGTCAAGACAATAGCAATAGTGGGATGGAAAACTTGAATGCCATTTCTTTACAGTGTGTACAACAAGATGGATACTCTTCAAATTATTGGCAAATGATAAGTTTTCGTTTGTCCCCCCCCCTTGCAGAGATCTATTTAACTACTTCGTATCATCATCATCCAAATTCTGTCTTGCCCTAGAAAAGAATAAAACCAATGCCAATGCGTACAGAAGTACAGAAGAAGCAACACAACCATAATAGCAAAGGGATCAAGTTTTCGTTTGTTCCCCCCCCTTGCAGAGATCTATTTAACTACTTCGTATCATCATCATCCAAATTCTGTCTTGCCCTAGAAAAGAATAAAACCAATGCCAATGCGTACAGAAGTACAGAAGAAGCAACACAACCATAATAGCAAAGGGATGGTATCAAGGGTCTCCAAACTTTTTGAGCCTGCGGGCACCTTTGGAATTCTGGCACAGAGTGGTGGGCACAACCACAAAATGGCTGCTTACAGGAGTTGGAGCCAACCACAAAATGTCAGGGAGTGAGGTTATACATAACTCTAATAGTAAATCTTCAATATTTCAGGCAGGAGCCCTGTTTAACACAGCTTACCTTCAGTTATGCAGTGAAGATCCTTGTGCTGTTGTGGCAGCTGTTGCCACAGCAACATTTTAAGCACAGCCAATCATTGCCAATGGCCAACTGTGACAGATGGCCTCTAGATCTGCCCTTCAGGCATCCCAGGAAATCCCTGCCTACAGGTGGAGTAGGAAGATACTAAGTTGCATCAGCGATTGAGAGGCTGAGGAACCTCTGGGAGGGGGGAGGAGAATTAAGTGGAGGGAAGTCTGTCATTGCCCCAGGTAGGGCTGGGGGAAACAAAGGAGAAACAGCTAAAACCAGGAGATTAGATAGGTAGTTAGGCTTCACCTGGTGAAGGAAAAGAACTCAGACATCTATAGTATAGGTACATAAGGCTCAAGGGCAATAAAGAGGGAGGAATACAGCTCTGGTTTAGGAGATTACTGAAGATCTGGGGGCAGAGCCTGGGGAAGGCATCATTTATTTATTGATTGATTATTTTATTATACTGATATTCCACCCTGCCCACATTGTAGGCTCAGGGTGGGTACCAGTATATAGGTCTGCAGTTAATGCTTAGCGGTTTGGTGGATAAGACAAAGAATGTAAAAAGTTAAACCAAAGAACAAATGTAAAGAAAACAGTCGTGAGCGTCATGAGAGAGATCTGACCCACATATCAAGCAGTCAACAAGACTTACAAAGAAGATACTTTCTGTGTATTATGGTCAACAAGCACTGCAACACAATAGACAAATTCCTTCAAATCATAAGAAAACCCTAGTGTAAAAATACATCATCAACATCTCTGGATTATATAACAATGTTTCAAAATTGGATCCTCCTCAGGAAATATTCTGTAGTGTACAAAAATACAATTCTTTGGGAGACACAGGACCTACATATTTTGACATGGAAGATGTTCATTCCTGTTACAGAACCCTTGGTTTCTTTCATAAATAAAACTATGACATTTCATAGAGATATAAAAACGGAAGCAAATGAACATACTTTGAGTTCTTGCCTGAAAGGGAGCGGTTTCTACCCAGTCAGATTTTAATTCCCCTTGTTCGGTCCTAACACGGAAAATTACTTCAACAAATTCACTGATAACATTTGTGAAATAATATTCAGGCTTTGTAATATTTGTGGAGTCTACTTCTTCTGCCCAGACGCAATCTGATTTTCTGAAATGCAATATGAAAAAACAAGAAGTGATCAGTTCTTTCTTCTATTTTAGCATGACTAATTAAAAACTAGTTCTAAAATATCTACTCAGACCCACAAATACAGGTGTATGCACTCGATGTTGATGGTAAAAAGAGACACATCCCTTTGAAAGTTGTATAGAGTAAATAGTGTGCAGGAGCAGGCAACAAACAAGTGTTATGTAATTCCATAATCACATCATGGGGGGGAAATTTCTATCAAAAAATTCAAAGGCTCTTATGTCCATCATACATTAGCTTGGATCTCATTTGTGTTTTCTGTCATTGGAATGGGAAGTGTTCATCTTTCCCTCCTGCAGCAGCCCAAAATGGTCCCTGAAATGCTGCTCCTGGGGACAGGGCACAGGAGAAAAATGACCTCCCCTGTCCATTAGCAGGATTTTTCTGTGGGATCCATGCGATTACCAAATCAAATGGCTTGGATATGTGAAAAAATGAGTAGAACTCTGCATGGCAGCACCCATGGACTAATGGCCAGAATTTGATGTGATTATACTACACCATGGAGAAACACATCCCTCCATTAAAAAATTACCTTCTACTATCTATTTCCTATCGCATGCCTTAGACCAATTTATAAAGTATAGATGGGCTACACTTTTAGGCACTACTATTTTTCCCAGATAGGCAGCCTGAGTAAGCCCCAGTATATATAAAATCCCACTGACTTTGAGGAGACTAGAACCCTTTGCTTGGGGAAGTTAGCCTTATTAATTTAAAGGGCCCTGTTTCTAAGAGTTAGATCCTACGAATCTGTTCCACTGGCACAAAGAAGCCTTGCTTTCACCAGTCCAACAGGCAGAAGGGACGATTATGTCCGCTTTCTCCTGCTTGCTGCACCCACCAAATACTGCATGACTACTTATTCATTTGTTTATTTAGGGAATCTGTAGGCCACCTCTCCGGAGAAGTGGCTGACGAGTAAAAACAAGAGCTTAATTTGCTGGTAGCATGAGCCCACCACCTGCCACAATGGGCAGCAGACCAACACTTTTCAGAAATTGTTAAGCAACTTGGGAGCAGAGTGGGAGAGAGGGCCACATCTGTGTCTCCACCCACAGCAGCCAGCCACCTCCACAGCTGCCGTGGCACTACCAATTCACATAAGTGTAAACACAAGCAAGCCAGAAATAAATGTAAGAATGGCAGGAAAAGCCAGTGTCCAATGTGGAATAGTAAAAAATGGGCAGAGAACCATTTGTTACACTCAGGGGGGGGAAAAGTCCTCCTTTGTTTAAAACTGCATCTTCAGTCAGTTTCATTGATTTGCATGGACTATGGGTTGTGATAGTACTTAGATATATAATGTCAGATTCTCTCAAAAGCACAAAACATAATTTAGTAAAGCAATCCATTTGCAGTAATCCTTTACTAGGTACAAGTTCCTCTTGTATCATCTCTAGGGGCAAAGCTGAAAGATTATTGAAAAGCAGCAGGTTGTATCCATGATACAACTAACAACCCAACTCTAAACAGGATAAGTACTTATGAGTTTGACAGGATAGACTTGCTACTGAAATCCTCTGGAAATAAGCCCTGATTAACATAGCAGGATTCATCTAGGAGCAGATAGGCATAGGATTGTGCAAAAAGAAACCTTAGCATTGCAATCCTATTTAGAAGGAAGTTTTCAAGAGAATCTCCTATCAAATCACTGTGATCAATGCCAAAAGGCAACACTTGTTCTGATGCTAAGTGTAACAATTAGAAATCTGAAAGGCAGTAGCAGAGAGGGGGACCCCTTCATTATTAAGCCACACCTCTAGAATGCTGATTTTTTCATTTTTGAATACATCTGAAAAGACTGTCACTTACACATTTCTATTTGGTTTTCTATTAGAATAAACACAATAAAATTGTGTGACAGTAAAACCAATGTTGTATTTAAAAATTTTTTGTATGTGCAATTACATACAACAATGAATAATGCAAAGTTCTTTGTATACAAGGAGAGTTTACTTACTTGCAATGCTCAACTCTGTATGACACTGCACTGCTATTGATCCCCATAACCGGAGACCATTTCAATGTATTCTGAAAATTGTATGAGATAATTGTCACGTTCTGTGGTGCCGGCAAATGGAAAGAAGATTCTAAGGAGAAGAGAAAGAACGCGACATGAGAGTAAAATTAAGTCTAAACTATTAAACACACACATAGCTGCCTCCAACATGCAGGACAGAAGATAAAAGCTTGACAGTAGCAATGGCAGGTTGGCTTCTGATATGAGTAAAGGTAGAGCGAGGCTGTGCATGATCAGAGCAGGTCTTAATGTCTGATATGAAAGAGGTGGAAGGGGAGTGCGGCACTTAGTAAAACCTAATTTAACCACAGCTTCAGCAATGCTTGAAGTCATAAAAAGGTTTTCATCTACAACAAGATTGTTTATTTATAAAGCAGGGCTAATTTCTCTTAGCTGTCTGATATTTGCATGAATGATCTGGGGGTGGAGTGGAGGGGTAGCAGCCCTGAAAATTTCATCCATGCCAGGTGGAAAACAATGACATTACAACCAGAATGTGTTTTCACTGAAACCAATGGAAATGAAGACATATGGATGAGCTCATTCTTTTGGATTACAGGTTGTTTTCATTTCAACATAAATGAAAATGAACTGTGCATCCCTGTATACTTTGCCTTTGAAAGGCCACTTACTGGCAGACTGAAGAGGTGGACAGTCTGCACAAAGCTCTAGGCATTATGAAGGCATGACAGTGATATATTTTGCTCCCAGCAAAGTGAGTTTCCTTGTGTGTGGACAGTCTGCACAAAGCTCTAGACATTATGAAGTCATGACAGTGATACATTTTGCTCCCAGCAAAGTGAGTTTCCTTCACTTTAAGAGCAGAGTTTAGCCACTTTCAAATCCACTCATGTGTCAAAAAAACCCTGACACTGCAAGTTAGGGGTCCCACCTTAACCACACCAAGTGAGCAGCACAGACGTATTACACTAACAATTTTGTGCTCTTACAACGTGAGCTCCATTCCTTCCAAAGGCATCCCATCTCATTAATTTCAACATTGTAATCACATTCTTGTAGCATTTCAATAGCAACTGACCCTATGTAAGTATTGTACTCCCAACCCAGAGGATTAAAAACTGGAATAAAAGAGCAAGACCTCTGCTGGGGGAGGCCTCTATTTAAGGAAGCACCTTGCCAGAGGCACGAGCCTCTGGCACGAGCCGAAGGGCGAGGTAAAGGGCTCTTTGCCCGTGGCTCTTGGACTAGGGGCTCTGTGAGACGCCCAAGAAGAGGCAGAAAGTGATAACCCTTTAAGAACATCAGGCCCACTTGGGTGCTAACTGAACCAACAACAAAATTTGTTCCAGACAGCTGTGTGCTTTGGGACTGCTGCTGTTGCTTTGGGGTGTCTTAACGACAAGAAGTTTTAGAGTAATGCTAAAAGTCATCTTATCTTAGCCTAGCCAGAGGGACTTTCCTTTCCCAGTTTTGCAACATCCCTTGAATCTTCTCTAAAATGGAGAACAAAAAAACCCTTGTACTAAACAAAGCAGTAAATACACTAGAGTTTACTCAACAGAGAAACAAAATTGTGAAATTCGAAGAGTTTAATATGCTACCTTCAGTTCTGTACGTGGTCTGGCTCCAGTGCCCACAGATCCCATATCCTTTCCCATTCATTCTGTATTATGCTACTTAGGATCACTGAATGTATTCCAACCATTCATTTTTATCATCACTAATACAACATCTGAAGGTACAAAACGCATAGTGGGTATGGTTACAAACACCGAGTTGGGAAATTCCTGGAGACTGGGGATAGAACCTGGAGAGGGTGGGGTTTGGGAAGTAGAGGGACCTCAGCAGTGGGACATGATGCCAGTCCATCCTCCAAAGCAGCCCATTTTCTCCAGGGTAACTGATCTCTGTAGTTTGGACTGGAGATCAGCTGTAATTTCAGGACATCTTCTGGCTACACCAGGAAGTTGGCAACTCTAGTGGTGAGGTTCAAAGCCCTTCCAAATCCTTTGCTGCCGAACCCCTGTGCATTGCGGAGAATTTGGGGAATGATCTTGTTTAGAGGCTGCACAGTTCACAGTTTGCTCTAGCCAGGCTAGCCCGACCTTGTTGGACCGCAGAACCTAAGCAGGGTCAGTCCTGATTAGAGATGTAAAATTTCTGGAAACGGAAGCAGGGTCAGTCCTGATTAGAGATGTAAAATTTCTGTCTGGAACATCTGCAGGCCTACCCATTTCCACAGGGGCTTGAGAAACCAGACACCCACTTTGGTCTATCAAGGTAGTTTCATCAGCAAATGCAAGTCTTCCTGAGTGCAACATCTAATTACTATCAAGCAGCCAGGTGAGCTGATTACCTTTTGCTGACCTTCCAAGCCTACCAGCTTGCTCCAAACAGGGGGCAAGCCTCCACCCTGCCAGCCCTTTTGTCCACCCTGCCAGGATGCAACCTTCCTGGAAGCTCCCCCGCCCCGCCCCCCAGCAGAGCCAGGAAATCCATAAATTCTCATCCTCGATTCACCATGAATTCATGGACCTTATGTCTTTGAAATTCTTTTTTACTGGCTCCTATAATTATCACTGCTCTGCCAGCCCAAACTGTACAGTCTCATCCTCTCCACATGCACAGAGGCTGCCAACTCCATGTTTCTTTCTCTGGAACTTTGGGACATTTACTTGCCATACAGGAGCACTTTTTCACCATGATACTTATTTTGGGGATCATTAGAAATTCTGCCTAAAGCCCCTATTCTCAACTTGTGAGTAATTGAAAAAGACAATGTACTGGAAGTTAAGGTGATTTTGGTATCCTGGTGCTTGCAGCTTTAGAGAATGAGAAATAGATGAGATGGGAATATCTCTGTCTTTAGCCTTGGGTTGGGGTGTGTGTGAGAAGAGGTCTGTGGTTCAAATGCTGGAAGTTAACGTGATGTTGATATCATAAGAACATAAGAGCCATGCTAGATCAGACCAGTGGTCCATCAGTCCAGTATCCTGTTTCAAGCAGTAGTAAATCAGTTATTCTGGAGGGCTAAACAGGGCAGAGAGGCCAAGACCTTCCCCTGATGTAGCCCCCTGGCACGGATTCAGAGGCTGAATGCCTCTGAACATGGAGAATTTCCTCAGTCACCACAGCTAGTAGCCACTGATAGACCTATCTGTCACAAATCTAACCCACTTTTAAAGCTGTCTGTTCCAGTGGTCATCACTACACTCTCTGGCAGCGAATTCCACCTTTTAATCACTTTCTGTGTAAATAATTATTTCCTTTTCTCCATCCTGAATCTACAGTGCATCCGCTTCATTTCATGCCTTCTAGTTGTAGCATTATGAGAGAGGGAGAAAAATGTCTCTTTGTCAATTCTCTCCAGGCATAATTTTATAAACTCCTATTATGCCCCCCCCTTAGTCTTCTCTTTTCTAAACTGAAGTCACAGACTCTTCAGCCTTTAGGGAAGGTGCTCCAGCCCCCTAATCATCTTGGTTGCCCTCCTCTGTACTTTTTCCCGCTCTGCAATGTCCTTTTTCACATATGGTAACCAGAACTGTACATAGTATTCCAAATGAGGCATAGTATTTCAAATATATTGATACAGAGGTATTACAATATCGACCGTTTTATTTTCAATCTCTTTCCTAAAAATCCCTAACATATAGTTTGCCTTTTTCATCACTACAACACACTGGATTGACACTTTCATTGAACTATCTACTACAACCACAAGATCTTTTCCCCTCTCGGTCTCAGGAAGTTCAAACCCCATCAGCCTATACTTGAAGTTCGGGGTTTTTTGTCCCAATGTGTATCACTTTAGAATTTCATTTGCCACATTGTCGCCCACTCAGTTTGTGAAGGTCCTCTTGGACCTCTTCACAGTTAGCCTTGGTTTTTACCATCCTGAATCATTTTGTGTCGTCTGTAAACTTGGCCACTATACTACTCACCCCCAGATCCAGATCACTGATGAATAAATTAAATAGTACCGGCTTCAATATATGGCCAGGGTCCAACATACCTGAGGGACTGCCTTTCCCCATATATACCTCAAAGGGCACTACGGTCAGGGACGCAACATCTGCTGGTGACTCCAGGCCCTAAGGAAGCCAGGCTTGCTGTTACCAGGGCCAGGGCCTTTTTGGTGGCAGCTCCTACCTGGTGGAATGAGCTCCCGGAGGAGATCAGGGCCCTGCGGGACCTTGTACAGTTCTGCAGGGCCTGCAAGACGGAGCTCTTCCGCCAGGGTTTTGAGTAGGAGCCGCCACTACCACCACCGAGTTGGAAACAGCGGGGTATGGGAACGGCCCTGTGATGATCAAACTGCAGCACTATGGCATGCGAATACCACTGAGCTGGGCTCTGACTGAATATCCTTTGGATACCATCTTTAAACTGAAGACTACCACCTGCAACCATCTTGAAGCGCTTTATTTGTAATTTTTGTAATTTATGTGTTTTATCTTGTTTTTATGTATTTGGCATGCGCGCCTAGATGTTAGCCGCCCTGAGCCCGCTCGCAGGGAGGGCGTCCTAGAAATCGAAATACAAATAAAAAATAAATACCAATCCTTGTGGGATCTCACTGCTTACTTCTCTCCATTGTGAGAACGGTCCATTGATTCCTACTTTTTACTTCCTGTCATTTAACCAGTTTTTAATCAAGGAAGACAAGGGCAAACCACCTCTGAATGTCTCTTACTCTGAAAATCCTACATGGTGGCTATAAGTCCGGGGTGACGATGACAAAAAAGATCCATACTTAGCAGAAGGGCAGCAGTCAAGGGATCTGTGGTCAAATCAAAGTTCTATCCTTGTACCAATGTCAAGAGAGCATTCATGACTATAGATAGATATAGATATATTTGGTTTTATATCACTCCAGACCATTGATCTATCTACTGTGACTTGTAACTGTGCTCTCCAGGGTATCCGGCAAAGAACCCTTCCTCCAATTTGCTACTGGAGGGATTAAGTTGGGGACTTTCTACACTGAAGACGTGTGTATCATCACTGAGTCATTATGGCCCTTTCCTAACTTTACTCCCCCCCCCCCACTCCTCCCAAACATCTTCCTCAATACTACTGACACACTACACAACCCCAAGACGATACACATAACCTAGTCAGGGCTGGTAAGGTGTGTTCTAATTCAATGCATGCTTCTGGGCACTGGGGGAATTCTGATCACAAGACTAAATCCAAAGTAGAACTCATCAAGGCAGAGTCCCAGACTCTGCTTCCAATAGTATGGATTAGTCTTTGAATAGGTAAAAATACTGATAAGTTCATCTGATCATGCCTAGAGTGCAGTTCCCCCCAGCTGCACAACTTTTTGGGTTCAACGAAGCTCCTATGCCTTTAACGGTTGTATAAAGCTTTTGCCAGCATTGTCCATCCACGAAGGAGAAAGCCATACGTGGTGGCTCTTCTGCCTACAGCTGCCACAACACTGGCCTCCTCCTTGGGAAAAGGCAGCGTCTCTGCTGAATAATCGAAATCCAGCCCCACCCCCCACCCCCCGGACAGGAGAGGCTTCCAGTCAGCCTCCAGCCCTCGTAACACCTTTTCAGATGGAAGCCGCCGCAGCTTCCTCGTTGCCCGAAGGCCCCACCCCACTGCGGCGCTCTGCTCCTCCGTACCTGCTACGGCGGCCTCCAGAAGTGGCTTCACCAGGAAGAACAGCAGCGGGGGGCCCAGACACAGCATGGCCGTGGGACTCGGTCCTTCGTCCTCTCAAACGCCTTCTGAGGGGGTGACCGAAATCGGCAGCGCTTCTTCCGCCATAGCCTCCCGGGCGTCCTCCGGCCCCCTCCGCCGCAACCCCACACGCCTCCGAAGCCTCGCCCCGAAGCACGCCCTCTTCCCGGACTCGCTCGGCGTGGCCGGGGCGGGACAGGGAGGAGGAGGCCGGCGGTCAAGGGGCTGGGCTGTTTCCCTCGCAGGCCGGGGGGAGGAAGACTGGGGCGTCAGAGAGCTTTGCTGGGCGACGCAGCGCTCTTGTTTTGCTTTGGTTTAAATGCGAAATTAAGAGATGGGGCAGTTCATGTGGTTCAGGAGCACACTGACTCCAGAGCCGCACGTTGTCACTGGTACGGGTTGTGTTCTCAGTGAATGGCGCAATGTAATTATTCGATTGACTTGATTTGGAAATCTGGTCTGAGCTTCCAAAAGGCTTTGACATCCTTTATTTGCAAGCATGCTTAATGGAATGAAAGCCAAAATTCGGGGAGGGGGGGTGTTGAAATGCCATGTAATAACCTTTTCTTGAAAGCTTCTGCTTCAGGAAGCATCTATACATTAATAGTGACGTCGAAGGCCAGATCTGAGGATACTTAAATCCGGTCACTGGAGCTGTGAATGGGCAAGACTAATCTTCCCATAAACCTGAAAAGGGCCCCAGGTTTGCAGAAAAATGTGAAACCTTATCGGGGAGAGGGGTGTTTTAAAAACCCTGAAACTGGTAAAAGGAGCTCCTGTAGCTTTAGGCAATGGAGTCTGTCAGTGGCTGTTGCTAGGCAACCACAGTATTCCAGGATGGGTTTCTGTGAGTTAAAAGGTGGCATGAGAGGGCAGAGTACTTTCCAGTCCAGGACTGAGCTAGGGTTGCTAGCTCCAGGTTGGGAAATTCCTGGGGATTTTGTGGTGGACTCTGAGGAGGGCAGGGTTTGGGGGAGGGTAGAGGCCTTAGCTGGATAGAATGCCATAGAATCCATCCTCCAAAGCAGTCATTTTCTCCAGGGGGACAGATCTCTGTCATCTGGAGTTGAGTTGTAATTCTGAAAGATCTCCAGGTCCCACCTGGAAGCTAGCAACCCTAGGCCTGGAAGCAACCTCTGGGTGACTTTATACCACCTGACTTGCATGACTCACCTAGGCCTGACTGCTTGCTGTTGGGAAACAGCAAGGGAGGTGGAAATCCAACCTAAGAGGCAAGTCAGGAACCTGGAAGGTTGAACAACTGAAACATAGAACAAAATACATTTATTTATTACAAAATGCACACTAGCCACAGATTAACAACATACATAAAATGTAGGTAAAAACAAAGAAGTAGTGATCGCATTACAGCCACATAGCATACAGCAACGAATGTAAGTTGGATGTACAATAACTAAGATTATATCACTAGATCAAATGTGTTTTGGCCCAAGGGCCCTCTTCAATGGTCTAAATAATAGCAGCACACACTAGAAATGTAAATATTAAATATCTGTTCCAAGCCAGGCAGGTTGTGTATGAATCCTAAACACAAAAATACATATGTAAGGATATTATCAAATTGTGACATACTAACTGGCCAAAAGGAATTTCCCGCCCAAAAAATGTTAATAAGGCCTGCATATATTGAGGAGCCCACACCCATCAAAGATGATAGCTTTGTACAACAATTCTGGAAAAAAGATAGATGGCATAGCATCTATGTATAATTAAATTATGATAATATTTAAGTAAGTAAGCCAGAAGGGATCCTAATTTTTTTTTAAATATTCACATACAGACCTGCCCTTGGCCATTGCTTTATTCACCATATGTGCCCATGCATCAACGAAAAGTGAAGGGATCTAAGAATGGTCCTAAGAGGCCTAATAAAGGTGCTGGAGAGAAGTAAGGATAATTCAATCCCACTGATTAATGTGGGATTCGGGGGGGGGGGGAAGAGAAGCTCTGTCTTTGGGAGACCCGCACGTGCTGCAATGACATCACCTGGAAGTGACATCATCACGCCAGGCATGTCATCGAGGGACGCTCTAGCCATAGAATTTTAAGATCAAACGCTAGAGTGTCCCCCACCGACGTGCCCGGCATGATGATGTCACCTCCAGTGTGCCTGCTTCTGGCACTTTGGGGGTGGAGTTCCCCCCGGTGGCCGGATCTGGGCCGGCAGGTTGGGGGACCCTAGAGCGGGCAAACCCTTGTCCCCCGGGGGACCTGGCAGCCCTAAGGGAGGGGTAGGGGAGGAGGAGATGAGAGAGAAAAATGCGGGTAGGGAAGAGAGTGGTATGTAACTGCCTAAATGATAAGGGACAGGAAACCGGGTGGGTGGGATGCAAAACATTGAGAACAGTGAAACAAAGCACATAATGTATCATAACATACACAACCAGTCAGTCTCTTCATTCAGTCCACATGGTGACAAAGTTCCCAAAGTATCAATCCAGAAGGTTTCTCATTTCCTCAGCTGTTTTTGAAGTTGGCTGCTTGCTGCTGTTCAACAGCAGCCACCCTATGAAAGCAAATGTGATGTAACAATTAGAACTTCTGAGAGACCCAGGTTTGAATCCTGATCTTGCTGTGGAAGCTCAATGGGTGGTTTTTTGACCAGTCACATACTTTTAGCCTAACCTACCTCACAGGATTGTTATGCAGATAAAAAGGAGGACAGGAGAATAATGTAAGGTGCTTTGGTCTCCACTGTAGAGAAAGACTGTACTTTTCCTCCTGGGGAACCACTGCTGCCAATCTCCAGGTGAGGGCTGGAGATCACTCAGAA